GGAATGCTAGCAAAACGTTCTTAAAGCATATTTTTGATAGCTTGCTGCTGTTCATTAATTAAACATCTCCTCACAGTCGTTCACACTGTTTAAGCATGTCATTTCACCTCAGATGAAGGATGTTTGAGGAGATGAATTATTGAGGCCTCTAGAGGCACAGCTGTTGGGTTCACAGTTTATGAATAAAATAACGAAGAATAAAATAAGCTCTGCTGAAGGCGATGAAGCTCTTGGGCTTTAAATTAGCTTGAGTTTGACAAAAGATCAGGAAACATTTAACTGTAGTTTGTTTGAAAACTAAATCATCGCAGTTCTTCTATAAAGTACTACTACTGTGTTTTTAGTATACCGTGTTTTATATGTCACTGATTCTTGAGACATGGGACAAAACACGTCCAGCAATTGTAACTGCTATTAGGTTTAAAAGTGAAAATATTTTCAATTGTAATTGTTATGAGGGATTAATAATAGAATGTATTTAACACAATTATCCCCTTATTGGAGGAGCGTAGATGAAGGAACAGAGAGTATCAGAAAAAGCGAAAAGAAAAAATCAGTGAACAGCCAGAATTAAAGGAGGAATTTAAGACAGGAGAGACAAAGGTGGAAACAGAGAGATGAGGAAGGAAAAATAAAGCAAATCAAGGATTTTAGTAAGAGAGAACAAAGGAAAAAGAGAAAGAAATGGAAGCATAGCCAGCGAGAATCAAGAGAGTGAAGAATAACATAACAATAAACATACAATAACAATAACATACTCACTGTTTGTTGTGTTTGTTTTAATACAGTAATTGATTGATTCAATGTATTTGATAGTTAAAATGACGACAACTTCAAGTTTTCGTCACCACCGTCAGATGAATATTTTGAGGATATTTCATTATGATATTTTATATTTGTTGGTCATATGTGACCCTGGAGCACAAAACCAGTCTTAAGTGTCAATTTTTCGAAATTGAGATTTATACATCATCTGAAAGCTTTCCATTGATGTATGGTTTGTTGGGATAGGACAATATTTGGCTGAGATACAACTATTTGAAAATCTGGAATCTGAGGGTGCAAAAAAATCTAAATATTGAGAAAGTCATCTTTAAAGTTGTTCAAATGAAGTTCTTAGCAATGCATATTACTAATCAAAAATGAAGTTTTGATATATTTACAGTAGGAAATTTACAAAATATCTTCATGGAACATGATCTTTACTTAATATCCTAATGATTTTTGGCATAAAAGAAAAATCTATAATTTTGACCCATACAATGTATTGTTGGCTATTGCTACAAATATACCCCAGCGACTTAAGACTGCTTTTGTGCTGCAGGGTCACATATATGAAAACATAATCTGTCTGCTAACACGAGAATATGTTTTGAAATGTTAAAAACATATTGATTGCTGTTAAAGATCAAGTTAAAGTTATATTACACAGTCCAATTCAAGAAACACAGACGGAAATCTTTATAATAAATATATTTATACATATTGAACTTTTTTTTTTTTTTGTGGCCTCTGTCTGCCTTGGTAAACAATAGTGTTTACTATACTTCTTATAGGTCTTGCCTAATGTGAGTCAAAATTAATTTGTGTTTTTTGGTGTCTGATAGTGTTAACCTTGTTGAAAAAGCAGCATATGCTGGTTAGGTATGTTTTGACACTGGGATGATGGTTTAAGCTGGTCCTTTGCTGGTTTATGCTGCTCCTTTGCTAGCACCAGCATAAACCAGCAAAGGACCAGCTTAAACCAGCAAAGGACCAGCTTAAACCAGCAAAGGACCGGTTTAAACCAGCAAAGGACCAGCATAAACCAGCAAAGGACCAGCTTAAACCAGCATCCCAGCGTCAAAACATACCTAACCAACATGTGCTGGTTTTTTCAACAGGGACAATGTTAGTGATGGCAAGGTAAAAAGCACATTTTGATAAAAAAAGAGAAAAGTTGGGAGGTTGTATCAAAGCATAGCTCAGTAGCTTAGTACATATAAGATACATAAATGTAGTTTCATTTGTCTGAGTACAAGGTTTTATTTTTTCAATTTAGCACCGTTTTGTCTCACTTCTCAAGAATCAGTGATGTGTGTGTGTGTGTGTGTGTGTGTGTGTGTGTGTGTGTGAGCAAAGGACCAGTTTAAACCAGCAAAGGACCAGCATAAACCAGCAAAGGACCAGCTTAAACCAGCATCCCAGCGTCAAAACATACCTAACCAACATGTGCTGGTTTTTTCAACAGGGACAATGTTAGTGATGGCAAGGTAAAAAGCACATTTTGATAAAAAAAGAGAAAAGTTGGGAGGTTGTATCAAAGCATAGCTCAGTAGCTTAGTACATGTAAGATACATAAATGTAGTTTAATTTGTCTGAGTATAAGGTTTTATTTTTTTTTAAATATTGCACCGTTTTGTCCCACTTTTCATGGTATGCTAATATGGTGATCATTTAGTATCATATCAAAGTGTCGTGATATTACTATGTTAACCATTACTGTATCATAACCCCAGTAGTTTTACATTTTAATCATATATAATGTATTTGAAGCACTTTATGAAGAGAAAACAACACAAGACACTTCGTGTTGTGGCTAGCAAGCTAGACTTTGATGCTAATTCGGAATGATTAATATGTGGCGAAACAGCTGCTGTAATGTCTCTTTATGTTATTAAATAAAGTATAGATGTGTTTTAAGACGTCTGTTTGAGTGTAAAAGGTCCCATGGTGTAATGGTTAGAACTCTGGACTTTGAATCCAGCGACCCGAGTTCAAATCTCGGTGGGATCTAGTCCTTTTCCGATGATCAAAACATTAAAAGAATTCAATAAAACCATATGAATTCCATGGAACAGAGTAAAAGATGAGATCATTTAGTGGTTAAAAATAAAATAAGAAATGACCCAGATAGCACAGGTACGTCTGTTAAAGATTTCTTCATCTGGAAAGCATCTGCTGTGTACAAACATCTGATAGACGTCTTTAAGATGTCAGTTTTACATTCATTCTAAATCATAAGCATCTTAAAGACATCTTCTAAACGTCTATTTGACATCTGATAGGAAACATCCTATAGACGTATCGCAGATGAACAAACACTCTAAAAAATACGTCTTGCAGATGTAATGCAGACGTCAAATAGACGTCTCCGTGATGTACGTGTGCTAACAGACCCACAATGCGCACTACCTAGTGCACTAGCAATAACCACATATCCAAAATGAGTTACCTAAAGTATGCTACATTATCAGATGATAATACTAACAAGTCCACTAATTAGTCTGCATACGGTCCATGAGATGCAGAACACAGACAAGCGAATAATCTGTTTTTGATTTTTTTTTCTCCATATGAAAACATACACAATCCTTCCATTTATATTGAAATATAAATACGCGTGAACAGTTTAAATCAATGGTGCTAACAGCAACTTTACAGTCAGACTGATGTGTTTACAGTACAAATAAAACACTAATACATGTATTAATCCATAACAAACACAATTAAGTCCTTAACCTGTCATACGGTACATTAAAGAAGTACAACCCAGCTAACAGAGAACGTTCTCAGAATTTTGGATAACGTTCTGGCAAGGTTTTCTCAAAGTCTCGAACTAACATTCTTCCAGGAACGTTAATAGAACGTTCGTTCTGGTCTTTAATAATATTCTCAAATGTTATTATTCATACATTGTTTATGGAACGATTTTCTTAAACATTTTAGTTGGACATTCCTCTGACATTTTTTAAATGTTCCCGGCTAACAGGGAACGCTCTCACCAACATTTTTTAAAAGTTACATAAATGTTAGGACAAAAGGTTTTTAAAGTAATGTTTACAGAATGTTCTGATAACTTTATTAATATTTGATACAATTTCTCATAATGTTGAGCGAAAACATTCTGAGACCAACTTTCTCGTGATGTCCTTATGATGATGTTTGTACTTGAACATTCTAAGAAACATTTTTGTAACTTTAAAAAAATGTTCTGATCATGACAAGAAAACTGGACATTTTAATGGTCTTAGATTCTGAAAAATAAATGTCTAAATAATGTTAAATTTGAGGTCAAAAGTTAGTAGAACATTGTAGGACAAGGTTTTGTAACGTTTAAATAATATTCTCATCACAACAACAAATATGGACATTTAATGTTCTTAGAATATTAAAAATAAACATTCAAATAACATTATATTTTGGGTGAAAAAGTTAGTAGAATGCTGTAAGTAACGTTTTAGTGACCTTTAAATAACGTTATAATCACAACAAGAAAAACTGACATTTTAACGTTCTTAGAATTTTAAATATAAACATTCAAACATTGTTATATATTGGGTCAAAATAAAGTTAGTAAAATGTTGCAAGAAATGTTTTTGTAACTTTTAAATGATGTTATAATCACATCAAGAAAACTGGACATTTAAATGTTTCAGAAACATTTAAAAACAACATTCCCACAACGTTTTTATAACCTAAACCTGGGACTACTTGTTTCAGAATGTTCAGAGAAACAATCAAATGGAATGTTCCCTTAATGTTCTCATAACCAGTTTCTAAAACATTTAAAGGGGTCATATAATGCTACATGTACTTTTACAAATTGTTTGAACTGAAATGTGTGTTGGCAGTGTGTGTACACAACCACCCTATAATGATAAAAATCCACCCAGTGTTTTTTTTTTTTTATCTACTCAAATCTTTACCCCTTTCTCAAATCGAGCCGATTTCAGATGCCTGTCTGTGTGAGGGCTAAAGTAAACAGTCTCTCTGAGAGCGGCTCGGAAGAGAGGGGCGGAGTCAGCAGAGCTCATTAACATTTAAAGGGAAATGCTACAAAACGGCTTGCTCTGAAAAGAGCTGTTTTTGACAGGGTAAAAACTATGTTACAGACTTTTCATTAAGACCCTAAAGAATCATATCAACTTGTGAAAAATGGGCATCGGATGACCCCTTTAAAAACTGAATGTTTTGAACATTCAGAGAACATTTAGAAATAACGTTTTCATAACTTAATGGGAACGTTAGCAAAACGTTCTTAGCACACGTTTGTTAGCTGGGAATGCACTGTAGCGTTGGTGGCATTAGTGCGTATGATGAGACAGACGCTCATATTTCAGTCGACTCGAGGACGTCGCAGCTCTTGGGCCCGTCACTGAAGCAGCGTTTGCCATTGCTCTGGCTGTTGAGTGCGTGCGCGGTGCCGCTCGTGTTGGCCGGGTCGTGCTCCAGGCTGATGGTGGCGCGGCTGGTCTCGGTGATGGACGAGTTGGTGTGGTAGTTACAGTGAGAGTCAGTGGTCACCAGAGGCCAGCGCTTCCGCTGACCGCGATACTGCGCAAACTTACGCCTCAGTGCCGACTGCACCTGCGGGACCAGAACACGCGGCCATTTCTTCAGAATAGAACACTAGCTCACTATATAAAACAATGTAATAATATTTATATATAAATAACATTTATTATATACATTATAGATATATTATAATAAATAACATATATGTATAATAATAATAAAATAATAATATAATGAAAATAATATATAAATATTATATACATTCTATATGCTATGTATAGAATATTATATTAAATATAATTTAAGTTCAGTTTGTCTTTATTTAATTTCCTGAAGGCAATTTGGTTGTAGCATTTATACTCATAAACAATACATACAAAATGTACAAAACAACAACAACACTGAAACAGTATGCAACAATTAATGTTTCAAACCATAATATGCTGAAAAAAAAAAAGAAGTATAGAAACAATTTTTACTCAGAAATTGCTAGGGATGGGCATTTTTCAAAATTATTGTATTCGAATATTTGGGCTCATGAAAAACGGATATTCAAATATTTGTTAGAATATTATATTAAATATAATTTGTTCAGTTTGTCTTTATTTAATTTCCTGAAGGCAATTTGGTTGTAGCATTTATACTCATAAACAATACATACAAAATGTACAAAACAACAACAACACTGAAACAGTATGCAACAATTAATGTTTCAAACCATAATATGCTGAAAAAAAAAAAGAAGTATAGAAACAATTTTTACTCAGAAATTGCTAGGGATGGGCATTTTTCAAAATTATTGTATTCGAATATTTGGGCTCATGAAAAACGGATATTCAAATATTTGTTTATTTAAATGACCTTTAACAAGAAAGACTTTTTTTTTTTTAAATAATCAAGTTTTTGTCACCATTACTGAACAAGCTCTGATTAGGCATTATACACAACAATGTTCTACAACAATGTTACGTTATATCTCAAGGTTTATATATATAGATATATATTCAAATAGTATGTAACAAGAAATGTTTCAGATTAAATGAAATCACGCATTCAGTTATTATTGGAAATAAAAATAGGGATGAAAATATTATTTTGCATTTTAATCGAATTTTGTGTAAAAATGTCTAACAATTTTTGGTAGTCTGATTCAATAATTTGGTAGTCAAAGTTCAAAGTCACCGTTAATATTACTTCTGCTTTATGCTGGAAGTGAAAAACATACTGCATGCTAGTTTATTTTATTGTAAATAGCGGGCCACTACAATCCTCAAAAGTTTATGCTCATCTAAAGTGCTTTAATAAAGATTAATGAGGTTAATTAATGAAGTATTAATTATTAATTAATGAAATAATTAAGTCATACCTCTCCATTATAGAAGCAGAAGATTATGGCCACCAGGAGGCCCTGCAGAAACACAAAACAAGCGCTTAAGAAAACACACTGCTAGACCAGCTTATTATTGTTAACTAAAATCAAAACCATTAGAAAGATTTTTGTAATTTGAAATAAAATAAACATTAACTAAATATGAAAGTCCATTGAATTGAAAAGTGTCATCGAATACAAAAAAATATACAAAAAACGTAATTGAAACTTTTCATCTCACAATTATGAGTTTATATACATAACATCTGAATTGTGAGATATAAACTCAGAATTGTGAGAACAAAGTTAGAATTGTGAGAAAAGCCATCATTTTTATATTTCATTTTTTATTTCATTTTTTTATTCAGTGGTGGAAACATATGGAGTCAATTCAATACCACATATATTCACAAATGAAAGTGAGAAAAAAAATTAATGTGCTTTTTGCAAACAAAAATAAAGAATTGCAAAATATAAATGAAACAGAGCAAAAGCAATCATTTTGTAACACATATTTTTTCATGGCCATAGCTACTAATTTATTTTGTATTTATTTTGTGTTTCAGTCAAGTGTGAGCTTGCGATACCGTTTTTTTTTTCCCGTATTATTATTATAATTTTTTTTTTAAGTGTTTTTTCCCCATTTTTGAACTGTTACCACTGATGTATAATGCAATACAGATTGCTAAAGACAACAGATGTTACTAAAAGAGCTACCAATCTCTGTGTGAAAATAATATATTGATGCTGCCATCTTTCTGAAGTCATTTTTACCCCTGTGTAATCTGGCTCCGAATCTCAGGTGAAAATTGTCATTTTGACTCCCCTCTACAAAACAGTGGATTACTCTGTAAATATTAATCTGTGACATTTAATATGTTGGCTTTCATCATTATACATGTTTATCGTTCTACTGAAAAAATTGACAAAATCAAACATTTGAGCCGGGGAAGTTTCTGAAATTTGGTTGATTTGACACGGAATGACCTTATAATGTTATATCGATAACACTAAAATAACACTGCTGTACAGTCATGCAGGTCTGAAAGAAATGCATCCGTTTAATAAAACACTTAAAATGCAATAAAAGCACTTTTTTATGCTAGTGATATTAAACATGCAGTGGAAAGTGCTTAAGCAGGCATTTATTTAAGTTGTTACTAGCTATGTTTCCATCCACCTATTTTTATGCGCATTTTGGATTATCGCATAAAAATCCGTTGGATGGAAATGCCAAGATGCGCATAAATTCTAAAAATGCGCATAAATCGCATAAAAATCCGTTGGATGGAAACGCCAAGATGCGAATAAATTCTAAAAATGCGCATAAAAAACGTATGCGCACAACTGAGTAGGATACACTTTTTATTAGATAAGAAAAAATGCGCATAAACTACGATGGAAACACATTTACCGAATAAATTCCACCATGCGCATTGAAAAAGTCATGTGACTTTGCGCTATGAGACGGGATAACTTGACTAGCAGCGGACCGATCTCGTTCACAGCATCTATATGTTGTTTTGGTCGTTCTGAAATGCCTGAGCAAAGTCTGTCGTTAAAGTATTTCTGTATAATTACTGTCTTACACGACTGCGTTCCCAAACAGCAGACATCCACCTCTAAAAGCAATGACTGCATTTATTGTGTTACGTCTTCTCCTAGTTTTCTTAGAGATATTTAGTGCCAGTTTATCAGGAAGTGACGATTTTGTACATCTGAATTGTGAGATATAAACTCAGAATTGTGAGAACAAAGTTAGAATTGTGAGAAAAGCCATCATTTTTATATTTCATTTTTTATTTCATTTTTTTATTCAGTGGTGGAAACATATGGAGTCAATTCAATACCACATATATTCACAAATGAAAGTGAGAAAAAAAATTAATGTGCTTTTTGCAAACAAAAATAAAGAATTGCAAAATATAAATGAAACAGAGCAAAAGCAATCATTTTGTAACACATATTTTTTCATGGCCATAGCTACTAATTTATTTTGTATTTATTTTGTGTTTCAGTCAAGTGTGAGCTTGCGATACCGTTTTTTTTTTCCCGTATTATTATTATTATTTTTTTTTTAAGTGTTTTTTCCCCATTTTTGAACTGTTACCACTGATGTATAATGCAATACAGATTGCTAAAGACAACAGATGTTACTAAAAGAGCTACCAATCTCTGTGTGAAAATAATATATTGATGCTGCCATCTTTCTGAAGTCATTTTTACCCCTGTGTAATCTGGCTCCGAATCTCAGGTGAAAATTGTCATTTTGACTCCCCTCTACAAAACAGTGGATTACTCTGTAAATATTAATCTGTGACATTTAATATGTTGGCTTTCATCATTATACATGTTTATCGTTCTACTGAAAAAATTGACAAAATCAAACATTTGAGCCGGGGAAGTTTCTGAAATTTGGTTGATTTGACACGGAATGACCTTATAATGTTATATCGATAACACTAAAATAACACTGCTGTACAGTCATGCAGGTCTGAAAGAAATGCATCCGTTTAATAAAACACTTAAAATGCAATAAAAGCACTTTTTTATGCTAGTGATATTAAACATGCAGTGGAAAGTGCTTAAGCAGGCATTTATTTAAGTTGTTACTAGCTATGTTTCCATCCACCTATTTTTATGCGCATTTTGGATTATCGCATAAAAATCCGTTGGATGGAAATGCCAAGATGCGCATAAATTCTAAAAATGCGCATAAATCGCATAAAAATCCGTTGGATGGAAACGCCAAGATGCGAATAAATTCTAAAAATGCGCATAAAAAACGTATGCGCACAACTGAGTAGGATACACTTTTTATTAGATAAGAAAAAATGCGCATAAACTACGATGGAAACACATTTACCGAATAAATTCCACCATGCGCATTGAAAAAGTCATGTGACTTTGCGCTATGAGACGGGATAACTTGACTAGCAGCGGACCGATCTCGTTCACAGCATCTATATGTTGTTTTGGTCGTTCTGAAATGCCTGAGCAAAGTCTGTCGTTAAAGTATTTCTGTATAATTACTGTCTTACACGACTGCGTTCCCAAACAGCAGACATCCACCTCTAAAAGCAATGACTGCATTTATTGTGTTACGTCTTCTCCTAGTTTTCTTAGAGATATTTAGTGCCAGTTTATCAGGAAGTGACGATTTTGTGCTCTGTAGCCGGGTTTCCATCCAAAGTTGCGAATTTAACTTATGCGCAAAACTGGAATATCACATAAAACATTTGCGAACAAGCATCATTTCCATCCAACAACTCAAAGAGAACAAAACCGTCATTTCCTGATAAACTGGCACTATAGATCTCTAAGAAAAGTAGGAGAATATAATAATTTTCATATATAATAAATTACTTGCGCCTCAGAGCGAGCAGACGAAACACAATGAATGCGGTCACTGCTTTCAGAGGTGGAAGCTGCTGTTTGAGAACGCAGTCGTGTAAGACATTTCTGGGAGGCAATTATACAGAAATACTTTGATGACAGACTTTGCTCGTGCATTTCCGAATGACCATAACAACATTTCAGATGCTGTGGAATGAGATCGGT